AGAACGGACAACAGTGCAGATGAGGCAAGTGGTACGGTGACGTAGTCAACAAGATTCTACTCAATAAATTCTGTAATCAGAACTGGCCAAGATGATCTGAGACTGGGAAAATATGTTAAAATACAATTATTTCTTTTAATGTTTATTATTCATTTTTATTGAGGTATCATTCACATGAAATAAGGAAATCCTGTAGCATTATAGCACTGTAGCAGTGTCCTCCCATTGTTCATCAATTTCCTCGAGCGGGCCCAGTAATGTCTCCATTGCGAGACTTTGTTGTTACTGAGTTTGGCATATTGAATCCATCATGGGGTGGCTTGCCAGGCTTTTTCATGTGGGTGAGATACTCTCGGCAGCTTGCCGGGCTCTCTGAGAGGGGCGGAGGAATTGAACCCAGGTTGACCAGGTTGGTCGAATGCAAGCAAACACTCTACCCCTGTGCTATCACTCCAGCCCTACAGTAAATTCTACAGTTGTAAATTTAGTAAGAGTACTAAAAGAATTTTAATAGCAACATCTGAGTAAGCATAATATTACAGTCTGTTTTATCCCAAGAAAATAAATGTTGCCTTAGATTTAATTATATTATAGACTGTTTATATAATCTGTACTAATAAGCAAAACATTGTAATAAATATATATGGTTAGAAAAAAATAATTAAGGGCTAGAGTGATAGCAAAGTGGGCAGGGCACTGGCCTTGCCTGCAGCCAACCCAGTTTAATCCCTGACTCCCCATGTGGTGCCCAGAGCTGGCCAGAAGTGATCACCGAACTCACCACTAAGAGGTACACTTGCCGGGTGTATCCCCTTCCCAAATAAAACAGAAAGTCTAATCAGACTATATATTTTATCTGTGTGTGTGTGTGTGTGTGTGTGTGTGTATGTTGGTCCATACCCAGCAATGTGAGAATACCACGCATTTATGGTGAGAAAATTTGGGTCCTCAGTCATCAAAGCACATGCTGCAGACCATTGCAATCCTTTCTGTCAAAGAAGAAAAGCAATTTCTTGTAGCGACAAAGAAAATACTCACATATAAGAGAGCATTGTAAGACTTTATAACACATTTGCCAATTAAAACTCTACTGGGCAGGGGATGAATGAATGAACATTCATGAATGACATGGTATATTCAAAATCTTAAATGAAAAACTCTTCCAATCAAGATTAAACTATCCAGGGAGCCAATAACTTGGAATTGAATCTAAATTTTAAGAAGTTTTATATAAAAGAAATAGGTAAATGAAGTCGTTTTCTATTAATGTGGCATCATAGCCCCTCCAGAATAACAATAATAATAAAAGGTAAAGGTAAAGGCCCTCCCGTTGATCGTCGATTTGCTCGAGCGGGCCCAGTAACGTCTCCATTGGAGACTTTGTTGTTACTGTGTCTGGCATATCGAATACTCTCGGTAGCTTGCCGGGCTCTCCAAAACAATAATAATAATAATACCAAAAGATCTTCCAAATATTACATCCAGTTGGAAGTATCAATGCCCCCAACCAAATAAAAAGAAATTTTAATGATGATTTTATAGAGAACTTAAAAATTATTTGTTTTGAATTCAAAGTGGAATGTTAGCTTAACATGGATAAAACTAGAGGATATCGTGCTGAGTAACGTTAGCATGAGTCAGCTACATAATGAGCTCACTCGGATGAAGGGCTCAATGATACACAGTGAGGCAGCAACAGGGATCCAAAGGCCACATAATGGGGGGACCGACACGCACAAGTGAGTTGGGGGTAGCTGAGAGGGAGGGGAAGGAGATGGTATCACTGGTGATGGGTGTGCTGTTGGAATTACGGCCATGAGAAACGAAACATTTTTAATGAAACATAAAAAAGGAAATGCAAGCTAAGAGCATTGATACAATACTTATTGTGACCTTAAACAAAAATACTAAGGAAAATAAATAATAAGCAAGAAATATGAAATGGGACTTGATGACTGTGCAAAAGATAGGCATGCAAATAATAAAAAGGATGATGATAAGGAATTAAAGGGACAAGGCATATTGCAAAAACAAGCAGAAATCACGTCGAGCAATTATTCAATCATAATCTCCCTACTATCAACTTGAAGCCTGCAATCAGAAGGCAGAGGGTAAAAGTTGTATCAGGAAACAAAACCCAATGTTCTTCCGACAGCAGTGATAAATGGAGGCTCCAAGTAAATGTCTGAAGAAAAATCAGAGAAGTAAATGGCAACCCAAATGGTAGGGATTGTCCTGCATAAACTTAAAAAAAATAGAAATATAAGCTAAAAGCAGAATAAGACAAGATGGAGTTATGCAATTATTAAAAATCCGATCCAGCAAGACACTCAGCAATATTTCTATAACACATGAAGGAGCATCTTAGTCAACTTTAAACAGAATGGAAGACAGATCATGATAGCAACACAATATGTAATAAAAGATCATTTCTGCGCACTCACTAATGAACCCATCCATCAGACAGAAAATTGATAAAGGAGGAGTTAGCCTAGCTAAATTTCGTCAATGTTTTCAGAAATATTGGCCCCCGTACCAATTTTGGAAGTATTTAATAAGTATCTTCTTAGCTAATGGTAATAAAAAATATATTTTAATAATAATAAATTTTCAATATAATGTATGTTAATGAAAAGGGAAATACATTGTGTACTCTGTGTGCTTTTACTATTTTTATTGAACTCTGAAACTATTCTAACCTCCATAAATTCTTTCTCAGACAATATATTTTTATGTGTGTTGTGGATTGAATATAAAAATTAATAAACAAAATGTTCAAACTTCCACTGTAGTTTTTCAGGGGGTGGAGAGAAGTGGGTCTCCCAAGATTCATTATCAGAGAGTCTGGGAACCAATCCCAGAGTAATTTGGACAACTGGACAAGGAAGCCCAATGATCATGCCTAAGAATGTATATCCAAAGTCCCTGAGGCCACCAGGACCACCATTGCTGTGGTCACTGAGGACCTTCTGGACAATAGGTGTTTGTGCTGGGATGGTCCTGGGGATCGAATCAACCATGGCTAAAACATGAGTTCCTGACCTCTGTATCACCCCATCCCCCCCACCCCAATGTTATGTTTATAATCACTTAAAGTTGTTCAACTGTTGGCATAAAATGGATTATTTTACTTTATAATTCAATTGTTTTAAATTTTATACTTATTTTCTCTCAAGGAATACCTGATATTGATTAACATTTTGGCAATATTTTTATGAAAATCATTTCAGAAGTTTTAAGAAGTTTCAGATACTCATATTGATGAAAATAATGACATGTTACAGTTTTATGTGCTAATATTAAATACAGTGTGTGAATTTAATTTATGAATTTATATTTAGAAAAGTGTTGAATCTACTTATTTGAATTTAGTAGCAAGACATTCATTCTAGAAAGAGTTTATGTAATTGGTCATGCTGAAATCTTACTCTAGTTTACATGAAAGGAAGAACTTTGTCAAAGTTGAAGATAAGTGTTTATTTCCAGAATCTTCAAGTGTCATCTTGTCAATCAATTAAAAAAAAAAAACTCTAGGATCCAGCCCCAAACTACCCTTTCTACCTGTTTAGAATTTTTTAAACTTTAGTAAATAAAAGGGAAAAAATTCAGGCTAAGACCTCACAAGATATTTTGAGAGAATACTCAACACACCATGTGGCATGTTTGGTTCCTACTGAAAATGGTTACTCTCTTTTTCCATATGTAATGCCATTAACGATCTAAGAACCATCTACTGAACTCTCACGCATGGTTGGATTCTCACTCAGTTCTATGCACATTTACTTGCACACTTGTTCATCAGCATCATACAACGAAAAATGACATGAGGGTTTGCTTTACTGCCCAAGAAGAGAGGCCAAGAAGACAAATGAAGCTATGAGTGCCAAGTCTTCTTTTTGCAAATAGTCATATGTTTTAATTTGAAGTCCCATTTACCTAAATCAGCACATTTTGACCGTATTGTGAGTGATATTCTACTTTTCCTAGGAACAATTCTAGGTTCTATTATTTATTGCATGATTAAAACGAATAGTTTCAAATCCAACCACCAGAATCAACATTTCCATTTAGTTAGGTATATTTAAATCTATCTACATTCACATGTTATAATGGCCACTACATCAACCTATATTCAATGTTCCAGATGTTTCTTTTTATGTACTTAAATTTTATGTATTTATTAACATTGAATCATGGCGAAATACACAGTTACAAGTTTGTTCATGTTCATTATATGACTCATCATATAATGACACAACACCTGTCCCTTCACCAGTGTACATTTCCCACCACCAATGTCCCCAGATTTATCACGTGGGTAAATAGAATTCCTCACATCATATTATTAGTGAATAATTTTTCTCAGCACTATTCATGCCTGTAACTTTTTTTTTTTTGCTTTTTGGGTCACACCTGGCAGGTGCTCAGGGGTTACTCCTGGCTTTGCACTCAGGAATTACTCCTGGCGGTGCTCAGGGGACCATATGGGATGCTGGGAATCAAACCTGGGTCGGCCGTGTGCAGGGCAAACGCCCTACCCGCTGTGCTATCACTCCAGCCCTGATACCTGTAACATTTTAATTAAAAAGCAAACAATGAACCAGAACTATTTCAAAAAATGCCCACAATAAGATAAAAAAAACTTCTGAATAAACTTTTGCAAGTTACTTTCCCATTTGCAAATCCAAGTTTCAAAAGAGTTCTAGGAATAAGTTGACCATTGAGGGATGAGTCCCACGCACTGATCCTGTCTGAATTCTTAGAGGAGAGGATCGAGGCCTGGAAATGCTCATTTCTGCCCATCCTGAAAGTGAAAGCCTTTTCATTCCATGAAAGCTGAGGGTAAATGTTTGTTATTTTCTTCAATTCTCTCCATTATATTCCAAGTATTTGCATGAACAGTTTTTTCAGAGAATCTACTTCATTTCTTATTTTGATGTTAGTGTTCTGTCTTCTGTCCAATGCTGAGTTTTTTAGCTTATCGTGTCTCTGTTTTTCAGACTCTATCCTTGTGGCGTCATAGCACATGGATTTCAGGACCGCCTGTGAGGAGGTAGGTTACATAATATTCTGCTCTTTGAATTGGAGAACGAGTTACAGGCTCAAAGCACTTGATCCACCTTTATACAAAAAGAGTACCGCTTCCGATGAAGCAATAAGCGAGAGGGTCTTTACACTAAAGTCTGTGATCTGTTTCTGCAAGGTGTTTCTTCAGAAAGCAGAGTCGCCCAGGAAGCCTGGGATATATTCTCATTTTGAAAGAAGTTGAGAGCGTAATTGGTTTGACTGCATTGTCCTTCCAAAGCTGTGCACTGTATGATTTCAAGGAGCAAAAATGTTAGGAGTCATTATTTTCACATAAATGGCAATAGATTAGAGGACATTTTAGGTCCTTTAATTACTAAAAACCTATAATTTACTATTGCTGTATTATTTGATTATTTCAGTATTATTAAGTATTAGAGACGGTAATTCAGATTTTCAGTAGAGCTGTAACGACATTGACATGAGTTAAAGAGACACATTGCTCTGTCAAGGATATTAAAGGCCATTTAAATATGCAGTCAATGGTGCATAGCTGAGGCCTCTACAATATGTGACTATTCTATTTAAAAGATGAACTATTTTTATCCAAACATGGCACAGTGGAAGCACTATCTTTTCTCTCTTTAGGGAAAAATTGCAAAAAAAAAATGCAAAGGTTAAATATTTTCTTTGCTTAAATTGGTTAAAATAGTTTTTATGAAAAACAAAGTTTTATGGCATATGAATAGCTCAAGGAAAATATATGATTAGATAGATATCTACAGTTAAGCACCTAACATTAAACTTCTATTATTAACATTTGTGTTATTCATTTAATGAAATATTAGGTGAGAAATATATATTAAAATATTTAAAACATTTTTAAGTTCAAAATTTTTATTGTTAAGAATTTCAAAATCAAAACTTTAGTCTCCCAATTGGTTCTTAGGAGGCATTGGGCCCCGCGGGTCACTCTTATCCAAACAGGCTAGAGATACGCAGAGGACACAGGAATTGATTCTTTCCATTCCTTCAGTGCTGGGGCTTATCGGGACCCACCTGGTGGTGCTCAGGTGCCCCTGTGGCCACACCCAGAAGGATAAGGGAAAGTTGACCTTATCCTTTTACTATCTCTCTGACCATATTTTCTTTGGCTTTAAAGGGCTAGGTATCACTGAACCCGAACATATATTCATAAGAATGAGACACATATGAAGTTGTTATAAGAAACTAATGGACAAATGCTATTTTTGACAAATAGCTTAGGCTTCAAAAGTTACACAAGGTTGAATATCAAAAATATTTTCAAGATTATTATTCATTTATCGATTTGGAATACATAACAAAATTTAAGATTCATAACATTTATTTTTGTAATGGTAATACTTTTGTGCTCAACTCATCTTTGCTTCTTTAGTGGTAGATTACCTCCCCTTTGCCTACATTTTTATGGAATTATCTATCTGAGATCTATTCAGCAACAATTCCCAGGTGTTTACATGCTAACTGGATTCACTCGTTTACTGAAGTATGAGGTGTTCTAAATATGATTTGCCTGAAATTTATAGCGTTAGTACATTTAAGTGGATAGGGACCACTTAATTTATCTTTGTCATATTAGACTGAGGAAACAAATAATTTATTAATTGTTGAGAGTCATTTAATTAATTTTTCAATACAAAAACTATGTATATCATTAAGAGTCTTCAATCTAAATTTAGGGCTCTTTCTAAAGAACTCTATTGCTGAAAATTTTGGCATAATGAAATACATAGTAAATCAAACTTGGTTTCTTTTTCACTGTTATTAACATAAAACCACTTAGGGTAAAACTTGTCTATCAGATAAAGATAGCTTTTTTGTCATAGATTTACTGCCCATAAATCCAGGGATTATCTCGAATCCTCAATTTTGTTCATTCGTCTGCAGGTCTATGTTTATTCCAGTAGAACTATGAAGGTCTAATTTTTGTTTGTCATAAGGGAGCAACAAACGGTCAAAGGCAACAGAACTGAAGAGTTGTTCCACAGGACTGAGTTATGGGTAGGGGAGTTGATTGGAGCAATAGAGTTGATCTGGGACACTTCCAGATGTCGGTGGGTCCCCTGGTGGCATAAAATCATCATTAACAGAATTATAAATCACAGTGCTTTAATAAATATTTTTAAAGTTTAAAATCATGTTCAATATAAAGGAAACTATACTTTGCTTTTTGCTAAAATAGGTTTTATTTCCCAGACATATTCACCTGAGCTGTATTCATAAAGGGAATAGTATGTTTTTTTTAAACAATTTATTAAGTGTTCTGATGCGTTCTCATTCAATTGTTGAGGAAACAACCTCCTTGCTCCTGTAAAAATTTTTAAAAATTCATGAAAGTTACAAAGAAAGACCAAAATTAGATGAAGATAGAATGGCTGTGTTCAGAGGAGAATTAAAGGTGAGTAGGGAGAGCCAGTGTGGCTTGAGGTATCTGTCTTGCAAGCTCAAGTGGCCTTTGAAATCCAGCACGACAAATGACTTCCTGGAGTGAGTCCTTAGCGCAGACCTAGGAGGAAATCCTGAGCACTGTCAAATTTTGTGAAAAACCTTCCCCAGTATGTGTAATAACACAGATTACAGGAAAGAGTGGTCTCTTCTGTCACTGTATTAAGTATATGTTCATCAGCACTATGAAATGTTGTTTGCTGGTACAGAGAGAGACAGTAACCATCAACCAAGACATGACCGAAATGATCATATATGACTACAAATGACCACACCGTTGTAACTAGGCTGTCTCATTTAAAATTAGCATATAGAATGCAAAAAAATAGTTCTAAACAAAGGAAACAAACACCTAACAATTTGCATGCTTGCATAGAAATTTACATTGCACATAAAAACCTGGTATTATTTACCTGGATATTGTCTTGTTATATTTTATGTATATATATAATTTATATAATTTATAAATGTATATATGTTTATCCCTTTAAAATGCCTCAGTATGTGTGGCATGAAAATGTAATTGACAAAGAATTATTCTTATTGTCATTTTGTTGAAAAACAGCTAGAGATTACATGCACTTGAAAATAGTTTCTTTTCTAAAGCATCTCACAAATGTGAATTCTAGAACTTTTTAGACAGAATATTCAATATATCTGGGTGACTGCTCTAACATGTATTTCAGGACTTATAGGGATTACTGGTCTACTCCAAGGAGAACATTTCCTATTTGAAAGCTCTGTAGTGTATGTTCAGAAATCTTTGCCTACTGCTTGTACAATCTCCAAATTCGTGTGAAGCAAAAATGATAGAAATATTGAGTTTTAAACATGATTTAGGGGGCTGGAGTGACAGCACAGCGGGTAGGGCGTTTGCCTTGCATGCAGCCTGAACTGGGTTCAATTCCCAGCATTCCATATGGTCCCCTGAGCACTGCCAGGAGTAATTCCTGAGTGCATGAACCAGGAGTAACCCCTGTGCATCGCTGGGTGTGAACCAAAAAGGAAAAAAGAAAAAAGACATGATTTGTTTTGAATAATGTCAACAGGGCAGTTTTCTTTGTCTTTACCTCTTCACTTAAGGAGTGGTACAGATTGCATATGTATATGTGTTCATATACTTGGAAGTACTTGTGTCTTTGTTATTGATTTGGAATAAAGAAAGAGCAGGCGGTAGTGAATGTGATCATTAGAAGTGTCTTCAGAATTAAAACTCTACACTAGGGAATGTTAAAGTGAAGTCACAGAACGATGAGGAACGAGCAATAAAAAGCTTATTTTGTAGCTGTATAAATGTTCTGAATTATAGTCACGATTACATACTAAGACTGTGAGCTATGCCCCTTAAAGGTTTACCTGGAAACAAACGAGTTTATCTTAAATATTTCTGCTACAAAATGCTTTATATTAAAAGTGCTATGTGAATCTCAATCACTTTTAAATAGACCGCCTAAGACATAAACCCGATTCACAGATATGCCTATGAATTTTCTGACCTAAGCTCAGTTTTCTGAGGTAAACTTTATGCGAAATAGTTCAGCTTTTCTCTACTGCTATCGGACACACTTTCAGGCATATCAGAGTAATCTCCCTATTCTCCAGCTTGCTCACATTATACTGTCGTAAATGGACCACACACTAAAAATGCATTTTTCTCTGTTCTGCTCTCTTTTTCGGTCTAAGACAAAGACAGGGATTTGTTTGCTGCAGGATGGTAATCAGGAGCCTTTCAAAGTCCGGCTGCACCTAGCCAAAGACATTCTTATGATCCAGGAACAGGATGTGATTTGCGTGTCTGGTGAGCCTTTTTATTCTGGTGTAAGTAGCTTTTCCTTATGTTGAAATTTTGTTCGCTTGCCTTAGTAAAAGTGTTTATTCGCAGAAATTCTTAACATGTTTTCCTTTATTTTCAGAGCTTGGTCAACTGCCTTGCTAGTTTTTAAATTTGTTTTTAGAAAGCAGTTCTTGTATGAGAACCTTCACTTGAGCCCATAGTTAGAGCTATTGCCAACTCATTACCTCATTGACTCCAAGCTGTAGAAATTGACTCTGGTGACAGGTTTTCTGATCGTCAGAGACCACATTCCACATTTCCACAGAGACAAGAATAGTGTGTGGTGATTGCCCTAAAACGCCTTGCATTGTGTTAAACTCCTGAATGTTTAGTGTCTGGAAATCCTGAAGCTTTTGGCAGTAGTTACTGATCCTAAAGTCAGTGCTTGTTTGGGGCAGGTGAGGGTGGTAACACTAGGTAGCATTCCAGGGCCTCAATATTGATGCATTTCATCAAAAGTCTTAGCAACTTCCAGAGCTCTATTTGTTGTGCTTATGCTATTAATCCATATTTACACAAAAGATATGCATTGTCATTCAAAGCAGATCTGTCTGCTTCCTAGTGCTGAAGTGCAGCTGTGAAGACATGCTTAGGTAAAATTAAAATATTGGGTAAAACCAACATAAAGCAGGCTAAGTTCTCGAGTTTATCATTAATCGTGAAGAAACATTTAGCATATCTGAACATTGTTACCATAAGAAATCTCAGAAGAATATTAGAACAGGTCTCAAACTATACTGTCCTGGAATCCCTCTAGTGTCTGTAATGATTTAGCACAAAGATTTAATTTGCTGTTAATTAAAGTATCTTGAAGTGCTTAGTTGATGATGAATAATGTTGAACTTCAGTTTCTACCTCAATTCTCATTAACTTTCTATGGGAGTCACAGGGGGTCCTAAATCAGTAGGCCTTCCCTACCTAAAAATAGCAGACATTTTCAAGATTGTTAACTATTCCTTTGTCACAGGTCATTTAAATCATCCTGAATCATGGATCTGATTGTCTTGGCTGATTGAATGATTCTTATGGGGGTGAACCGTTTTCCCTTTATTTAATAAAAATAATAGAGCCCGATTTTTCTTCTTCCTTTTTCTTTCTTTTTTTCTTTCCTTTCCCTCCTTGCTTTCTTCCTTCCTTCCATCCTTCCTTCTTTCCCTTCCCTCCCTCCTTCCCTTACTCCCTTCCTTCCTTCCTTCCTTCCTTCCTTCCTTCCTTCCTTCCTTCCTTCCTTCCTTCCTTCCCACTTCTACCTCTTTCTGTTTCTCTTTTACTTCCTCTTCCTCCACTCCTCACTTATTTTTGCATTGTTCTGTTTGTGGGAATATTTGACACACAGGGATGGTAAGACTACTCTTGGTTCTGTGCTTAGGGTTGACCCCCAACAATTCTCAGGAATTATGAATTGCCAGAATTTAATCCTGCTTCCTGTCGTAGAACATGTGATCAGCTCTTTGAGTTATCTCTCTGACTATTTTGTATTTCATTTTTGTGTTTTGAAAGTTTCCTATAACTTTCCGGAATAAATATGTGACATAGTGCTACATAAATTAAATAGCATCATCTATAAAATTTAATATTTTTAAATAAAATTTTTCATCTATTGTATTTTATAATTTACTATAAACAAATTAAAATGTAATATGGAAAATTATACAGAAATAAGTACTATCCTTAGGTATACATTTAACAAAATAAAAAATTGCACTTTGATAACTACACAACTGTGATAAACGAAACAAAAAGTCAAGTGATGGAAACATACCAAAAATAATTTAACAATGCATTAAACACTAAAACGTATTCAAAAATTTCAACTAGCCAGTAATAATTAAACCGAGAATACTTTGTAGTCATTGACAAGTTAGTTATAAAATGTATGTGCAAACAACAAAGATTTAGAATCGGTCGTTGCAGCTTGAATAAGAGCCAATTTACGTCTTGGGGGTATTGTAATTTTTTTCTTTTGGTTATTTGGGCCACACTGCTCTGGGCTTACTGCTGGTTCTGAGCTAAAGTATCACATCTGGTAGGGCACAGGGGACCTTGTGCAGTGCCGGGGATCAAACTAGCAAGAGAAGCTTCTTACTCTTAAACTATTCCTATATTCAAATTTGGAATGTTTACGATTGTATTATACTTCTGAAAGATTTCAGAAAATACTATTAGATTGAAACATTAAATAAAGTATCTTTTTCATAAGTATAGGCACACAAATTATCGGAACATTATAAAGTGTCAAAAATAGACCCTCACATGATCTATTATACCTTTATTCTGATTAATTTTATATACATATGTAGTATTTATTGTTTTACAACATTCAAGTGACCGAGTTCGTGGAGTTGAGTACATTCACTTTTTTGTGTGACTCTGGCCTTTGCGGTCAGGAGTCTTATCTTCCTATACTGAGACTGCCCCCATCAAACAGTGATAGCACATGGTCCTCCTCTCAGCACCTGCCGTCCACCCTCTCAACTTCTGTATTTGTGAATTTGGTATTCTACTCAACCATTGTCAGAAAAAGAATGAAAACCATCTGCTTTGGATGTTCATTTCTGTGACTAGAAAGTCACTGACACGTATGCGGTGGACATAGAAATCTTATAAACTTTAGGAAGAACACAACAGCCTCGTTGGAAAATTGTCCTGCAGTTTCTTGCGATTAAATTTATCTGAAGTCAAAACTACTACTTCTTGAAGTTTACTTGAGTGTAATGGGGGCAGGAAAGCTTGCAAATAGACTTGCACATATTTAAAAACAACTTTTTTGTTGGCAAAAAAATTCTACCATGTAAGGGGTCAGGAAATAGTACCATTGGGAGGGCACTTGGCTTGTACCCAGCCAACCTGTATTTCGAGGCAAACCGTTTGGTTCCCTAATCCTCACCAGGAGCAATTCCTGAGCACAGAGCCTGGAGGAAGCCCTTAACACCACTCTGTGCCCCCCACAAAATGAAGCAGAAGCTCTGACATATTAAAAAGTTCATATATATTTATTTTATCATCATTAATAAATGAAAAACTAGGTCATTCCTTTTAGTCATTACATATTGAAGGAACTTAGAAGTCTCTAAGCTTTCTGAGAACCAAGTGGAAAGTTGAAGAGATTAAAAACTCTTCAACTCTTGTTGACTTCATGGAAGGATGAAGTGATGGGTGGGTGACATGCCCAGAGGCAGGCACATGCCGTGAGTCACTGCTGGTGAAGGCAGAGATTGGGAGTGGAAACCCCTACAGGCCAGTCCTGGGTAGAGCTGTAACCATAGCTGAAACCACGTGGTGAGGGAGGGCATGGAAACCATGGTGTGGACCGGCCTAGATTTTAAAATTCCGGAAAAGAGTTTCTGGTTTGCTAAAAGATGTTTAGAGGTCTACAATCCCTCTTCACTACAAGAAAAATATTAAATGGACTGGAAATGAAAGACTTGCCTTATAATCCAGAGACAGGTAGGGCGGGGGTGGAATGCAGAGTAAACTATGTTCCCCTGTCACTATCAGAGAGATGTGAGACATTCGCGCTGCACTGTTAGCCAATGCAGGGCCCTAGAGTGAAAAATAGCTCAGGTAGGAAAACTTGAATTATAAATTATGAATTTCTAGAAGCTGGGTGTTGAATAATATATGTAAAAAGCATTAGGAAAATGCAAATAAAGTGTATGTGGGAGTGAGTATTATGAGTGTCAACTCTAGGAGTTTTAGCAAATTAATACCCCAGTCAATACCAGGAATCTCAAAGAACACTGAGGAAAATGAGTATATAAAATCTGCATGTTTCTAGATGCTTTCCAAAGGAGAAAAAGTGAAGATCACAAAAAAATACTAAAATAAAATAGAAGATAAAGGTATGTCATAGACATATGGGTGAGTATTATATCTGACTTGTATTTGCCACAATGGAAATAGAAGAGTTAAGAAAAATATTTGTGGCGTTGAGAGAGAAAAAAGAACATGTCATTTTGTCCCATTAAAAATAAAGGAAAAATATTTCTCAAAAACCAAGGAAATTTTTTGCCAGTCTACCTGCATTGAATGAAATGTTAGAGGTTCTTCGGGGAGAAGAAAATTATTATTAATCAGAAACCTGGATCCTCATTGAAGCAAGAAAGAGAATCAAAGGAAAAAAAGGTTTTCAATATCAGTTTTCCACTTCTGTTTCCAAGGAAGATACCTGGGAGAAGATCTGTGGAAACTTGTCTTTGACCTACGGAACTTGAGCACAAACACAGGTCTGAGTCCCAAGGAAAGACCCGCTCAACTGTACACGCGATGAAACCTAACAGTTGGAAACTTGAATCAGCCACTATATTGGTGTTTGAAGATCAGGGAATGAATCCCTATACAACCGGACTAAGTGGACCTCTTAGTTCCTTACACAGTTCCTTGATTTAGTTCAGTGGCAGAAAATCATTATGAGTCCTCTTGAAAGGGGAAGACCCTCAAGAAGTTGTAGATATTCACAACAGAACACTATGCTCTAAGAAAGAACAAATCCTGCCATTTTTATCAAGAGGAATGAACTAGACTGATTCAAATCACTCAGAAGACAGTATAGACACAGAACGATCTCTCTCCTATATGGGACTTCAAGATTCACAGCAATGGAGGACCAAAATTCAAAAGGCAGCATCATGGGAGATCGATCCACACAACTGACTTGTTGGAGAAAAAGCATTTTGAAAGAGCATCCAGTTCCTTGGGGGAGGGTGTGAGCATACTGGTGATGGTCATGGTAGAATCATGTGCATGAGAAACCATTCATAATAATATTATCAACTGCAGTGTCTCGATTAATAAAGAAAAAGATCCTGAGTTAGGACAATGAATGAATGCAAGAAAAAGATTGCTTGGACCGGATCTGTTTCTCTCAGATTTATATGTTGAAGCATAAACCCTGGAAAGATGACATGAAGAGGAGAATTTTGGAAGATGGTTAAATTCAAATAAGATTCTGCATATGGGTTTCAGAATGTGATGAAAACTCAGAATTGTCTCTTCAGTTTGAGTTTACTGAGAAGAACTCAGCCAGCTATTACTTTTCAGAATAGTCTGAATATTCAAACAGCAGCAGATTCCAATACAGCTGCCACTTTAACCCTGACCTCCAGCATCTAGACAGCGAGGAAATACTCTGGCTGATGTTTAGATGACTCAGAGCCCTCATGGTTTCTTATATCAGCTTGAGGTGATCAATACAGCTGCCACTTTAACCCTGACCTCCAGCATCTAGACAGCGAGGAAATACTCTGGCTGATGTTTAGATGACTCAGAGCCCTCATGGTTTCTTATATCAGCTTGAGGTGATCAAGACAGACATTATTTCAGTAATACAGGCAGAGTTTTAAGTGGAATAGTATAATCGGTTTGTCCAGGTAAGCTATAGGTCACCATGCAAACTGCAGAGATTAATTCACTTTATAATCAAACAAATGTGGATCTGGGCTCCAAAAGGGGTGGAAGCTGCCAACATGAGCTTAGCAATGAAGACTCAATAATCAAATTTGTCAAATAGGAAGTAACACCTCCTTGTCATCTGTAGCTTGGAAGGTCCTCGATCACCTCGGTGCTAAAGGGAACCCGTTTGATACAGCTGCACAGCTAATACTTTGATCCCAGTTATAGACAGAAACTCTGTAACAGATAAGTCATCTGGAAAGGTGTGAAACATTGTATATTGATAGACACCCTGGAGAAGGAAAGTTTAGATGGTCAAAGAGTTACTGTTAGCAGCACACTGGAGAGATTACTTTTCGGAATAGTCTCTGCTCTCTCCAGAGACTATCCATTTGATACTTCAGAACGCAGTGCAGATCTGATAAGCTCCATTCTATTTGATAATCTGGATATGGGAACAATTGCAGCCAGCAGCTGTTCAAGATCTTTAGATACTGAGAGCACAGTGATTACTGATAGAAATGATTCATCACAGTTGCAAGATAAAGCTACTAAAACCTCAGTTAACATATAAAATAAAGCAATCAGATTCCCTTATGCTCGGGAATCAAATATTCAGTGTGCCTTTATTGCCCATGAATGATCAATACTTCTAAGCCAGGTATCATAGAATCTGCCACAGTGATTTTCTTCACAGAGGAAAGTCATATAGAGGTTTTTCTAGATATAAATATTGAAGATTATACTTAGAAAGTTAATGGGGCTAAAATCTATATGATATTACTATATATTTCATCACAGAAACCAATGTGAAATTTCAAAAGCATTTTTCAAAAAAAATAAGAAAACGTTGGATTATATTCCAAATATGATTGAACTGGAAGACACATAATGCCAATGCAATAAGCATCTAAGTGGAGCTCTAAGAAATAGTCTTAAAATTTAGAACCAACCAACTACATGAAACAACTTCTTTTGATTGTCTTTATGGGAGAAACGTGTGTATGTTAACCATCTTATTGTCACATAATTTCCTAGCAATAATAGTAATGGGTAATCATACTGGCCTTTAACCTTAGAATGCTAGCACCTATGTGAAATATGACGGTGTATAAGGTGAAACGTTTTACGTGAAGTTGATTCCTTGTAAAATGTGATAAGAAGGGATATTACAACTAGATATTGCTCTGATAATATCGTTTGTTTGGGACAAGTGCTATTCTTAATAGATAAAACATGAGATCACATCTGACTATTCTACCTAGAGCTACAATGACCATAAAAGTATGTGGGTCATTAATTTTTTTTTTAGAAACTTGTAACTATAAAGTACAATTGTTGGATCATGTGGTGTCTTCCTTCCTTCCTTCCATCCTATCTTACTCTTTCCGTCTTTCTTTCTATTATCTCCCCCACACTAATTTCTGTAGCGGTTAGACGCATATTACCACCAACAGTACATAAATCACTTTCCTTTCACTCACTTTCCATGTCCACCAGTACTTGTTTCTGATTACTCTACAGTGCAGACCATTCTTCCAGGTGTGAATTGAGAGTTTGTTGTAGATTTCATTTGTATTTTCCAGATAATAAGGATAATGAGGATTTTTAAAGTCCTCACTGGCCATTTGTGTTGTCTCTTTGGAGAAACGTCTTTCAGCTATTCTATGATTTTATAAATGGGGATGTTTTCTTCTTTACTGTTTTGAGATCCTTATTTAATCTGGATCTTAGTGCTTCGCCATATGCATAAGTGTGAATTGTTTTCTCATCTTCAGTAGAATTCCTTTTTGCTTAAATAATGTTTTACTGTGTTAAATATTTACTTTGGCGTAATCCTATTTGTGTTTTCCTTGCTGTTACAGTGTATCCAAAAAAAAATCACAGAAAACCATTAGAAAAAAGTACTTGCTGTTTTCGCAACATATATTTATAATTTCATATCTAATAACCAAATCTTTAGTGCATTTTACGTCAATGGTGCCTAAAATGAGATAATGATCCAATGTAATCCTTTTGCATGTGTCTGTTCAGTTTTTTCACACCGTTCATTGAGGAGACTTCGCTTTCCTCATTTTGTGCTGCTGGCTCCTTTGTTAGACTCATCTAATGACAGCTGGGTCTCCTTTTGCATCAAGATTTTTTCCAGATTTTTAGACCATGCCCAACAGGGCCCTCAGCTCACATCTAGCTCTTACCTCACCATCCCGGTGAACTTAGGGGACTATATAGGGTGCTGGGAATTGAACCCAGGTCTACTGTGTGCAAGGCAAGTGCAGTGCCCGCTACACTATTTCTTTCAGGTCCAAGCATTAAGATTAAGACTATTTTTATAAATATACATCAGTGTTTAGAACAACAAAAATTTGTCTTTTGAAGAACAAAATAATTGATAATATGTTGAACTTCCAAACATATTTTGTTACTAGGCGATACATTCATAATACTGCGGGTGTTTGATATAAATACAATTTCAGAGAAGCTTCCAGATGCTCTTATTTATGAGGTGAACAATGGAAACAAACCCCGGAAATGTTGCACTTTCAAATTTTTATTTTGGGGACAGATGGGATGAACAAAGTATGGTGATATGGGAAGATGATCTAGGCAAAGCCCTTGGGAATATACAAACAATTGGAGAGAAGATCTGAAAAATACCACACTGAGAATGGTCTTGACACTTCCCATGCCTGAGGCAGCCAATTCTCTATTTTGGCTTTAAAAGGGGAAATAAGTTGGTTAGTTTAACTTTTTAAAAATTTTGTTTGCCCCTATACTGCCATAATATATATATATATATATATATATATATATATATATATATATATATATATATAAAACCAAAAGCAAAAACCCAGTAGAAAAGAGTGTTGTGTGTCATGGTGTTAGTGAATGCTCACCTCTTTGCTGTCTGTCTTTCAGGAGAGAACAGTGACCATCAGAAGACAAACTGTGGGCGGGTTCGGATTGAGCATCAAGGTAACTCATCTTTCCAGTCTGTCCTTACAAAGGCCATGCTCAATGCTTGCATTTTATTATTATTTTTTTGCATTTTATTTTTTTGCTGCTTAAAAATAAGATTACTCTAGATAGCTCCTCTCTAATTGCATTGATACCCACATTATTCTTTCTGCTGCTTGGTTTGGGGGCTCTACCTGGTGGTGCTTAGGGCTTTCTCCTGGCTCTGAGCTCAGACCTTGTCCTGGAGGTGCTCAGGGGACCATGTAGGGTGCTGGGGATTGAACCCAGATCAGCTGTGTGTGTGCGAGGCAGGCCTCCTCCCCCGGTCCCATTCTTCTAGAATCATTTGATATAGGAAAAGTATTCAGGAACTTTACTGGTTATTAGATATAATTCACTGCCTTCATTTGGTTTTTTTATTTATTGATGTAAAGTGTTTACAAGAGTATAAATATGTACATGTTGGGGGCTGGAGCCATAGCACAGCGGGTAGGGCATTTGCCTTGCACGCAGCCAACCTGGGTTCGATCCCTGGCATCCTATATGGTCCCCCAAGCACCGCCAGGAGTAATTCCTGACTGCAAAGCCAGGAATAAAAACCCCTGAGCATCACTGGGTGTGACCCAAAAAGCAATAAGCAATATATATATATACATACATACATACATATGTATGTATATATATATATATATATGTACATGTTTTAGAGGGAGCATGTTACCACCAAACATGAAACCTGATGATTGTCCATGTGGGTCCATTAAACCCTTTCTGCCTACTAGCCCCTTCAGGCAGTGCCAGTTCTGTTGAGGGTTCAATTTGTTCTCTGCATTTGACACCATCTCGTCTATTCTTCATTCTGTATATTCCACCGAGGAATGAAAGTATTCGGTGTTTTTCTTTCTCCTTTTCACTTTCTTCACTGTGCATGAAATTCTCCTGTTCCATTCATGTTGCAGCAAACACTGTATTTTCTTTTCTTATAACACAAAAGCATTCTAGTTTGTAAATACATTGCAAAAAAAATTCTTTGTGATTTTTCTGATTTTCTCTAAATAACATCAAAGACATTATTAGCATATGCATAAATGATTCTAAATAGAATAGCGAATACGACTGACCTACCAATGAGTAAATGGCAAGTTTACATTAATAAGGTCCAATAGTTGAGAACTAGAATTACTCTATTCATAGTTATTTTATCCTTTATATTTTTAAAGATACGATATGCTTTAATACAAAATATACATACAACAGTTTTGGCATTTGTTTATCTAAAACATAGCCATATACTTCATTCAATAAATTTAAAAGTACTTTCATTTCTATATTACTTATCATTAAGTACATCACAAACCTGGAAATTAACATTTGAAACAAAAATTTTTGTACAAAGACTCATATGAATAAAAGAAAACTTGACACAATGTTTTATAAAGTACTTTAGAAACCTATATAAATATATATAACTTATATACCTATAGGTATATATATAGCTATATAAATATAGGTATTTATACCTATATAAATGAGTTAACTCTGTCTTGATTATTGACTTAGACATTTTATTCACTTAGAATATAAACCAAATACCTCACGTATGTATTTTATAATAGTTTAGCAGATCTAAAGGTTGCCCTAAGCTACGTCTTAATTCTTAATATGCTCAGGATATGAGTCATGATACTAATAAACATGATATTTGGCTGATAATTATTAAAGTGCTGCAGAGAAAAGATCAGTGTGCATTGCAGTATTCTGTGATAAGAATATTACTGAAATGTTAGTAATAACAGATATTCTGTATAATTCTTGCCTATAATCAGTTAGGATGCTGGAACCACTCGAGCAGATTATTAGATTGGAAATGATGCAATGAGAATTCTGTGTTAGAGCAAAGTTTACTGAGATTGGTTTGAAATATGAAAAAAGAATATGAAAAATAATAGAAAGTCAAGGAGAGAGGACAAAATCTGATGAAAGCAAAATCCAGTAGGGAGAGTTGGTCTCATCTGAACATTTTCAATCACACTAAGATGATGATTTCTCATTGTGAAGCTGTGTTGATTTTTGCACAATGATTTTTCATGATTCCTTTATAATTTTAAGTTTATAATAAGACATTTTTTTTCCTTTTTTGGTCATACCCTGCAATGCTCAGGAGTTACTCTTGGCAGTGCTTGGAGGACCCTACGGGATTCTGGGGATTGAACCTTGGTCGACCACATGCAAGGCAAATGCCCTCCCGGCTATACTCTTGCTCCTGCCCCCTAAAATGTTCATTTTTGGCAAAATAAAACACTAGATTTTAATTGAGAACACTTCCAAAATCAATAATTTTGCTAGCTGGAGCACTTCATTTTACCTTAGATTTTAACTGTAAGTTTTACTTTCTTTGCTACTGTTATTCGAAAGATACCTGAAATGAACCATGATTTTCTCTTCATCTTTACTATTAACATGAGATATGTGGCAGTCATTTTGCGTAGGCACATTAAGAAATGTGATAGCAACTTATAACATTAGATTTAGCTAAATTACAGCAAGGTGGCTTTTCCCAAGAAGCACTCAGTCTTATTTTACAGTCACCAGCCTCAGGTCAGCCTGTTCTAGTTCATGTAACCACAGAGAGTCCTTGTAGGACTGGAGGATAGAAGCACGGGTTTCTTCTGCTTACAGGCTGATTCTTTAGAGGACTTTGCACTTAGGTCAAGAGACTCTTTGAGCACCAAGCCTGCCCTTGGTCCATCTGACCATCTGAGGCCCTTGTTAAGATAGATGTTTTGGGGCTAGGAATTATGGCCTATCTTAAGGCAACTAAAGCTTTAACCAAGCCAGTATGATCAATGTTGAGGGTTCTATAAGACCCATGGCAATATTTGAGTCTGGGGTTGTCACGCCTCTTGAAGTTTCAAACTATACAAGTTCTTACTTTGCTACCTAGTAGACTGGAACCCCATTTATCAAGTGTCAGTTAGATATCTTACTTTTTGTGTGTGACCAGTACAGACAAGAGAGAGAATATCGGTCAGCCAAAGGAATGTGTATTTACCAATACGGCCAATATTTCTTAAAGGCACCCCTGAGTTTTACTGTGCTCAGAATGATGTGCTCTGGATGGTATTATTTCTACTTTCTCTGTCAGCTAAAATTCCATTCATAAAACATTCAATTAACTAGCATTTTCTTATGAGAAATGAAAACTCATTCCCAAAAACCTTTGTGATTTCCAAGTGACAGGGTGAAGTTCTCACTTCTTCAGTTCTCAGGCTGGCGAGTTGTCAAATTAACATCAAATCAGTGGGAGAGGGTTTATTCCAGATGCATCTGTTATCTTCATTGTTGTGGATTGTGAATCTAATGAGGACACTGGGGACCTTATGGGGTGCTGAGAATTAAACTTGCATTGACTGTGGATAGGCAAATATAATCTCTCTGGCCAGATAAATTTCTGTCAGAAATCCTCTCAGACTTCTATCAGAAATTTCTCTCTGAAGCACAACAAATGCTTCATTCCCAAAGCATCTGACCTCTAAAAGTGCCGCTCTGCTTCTGCTGTAGAAAGTCTCCTCTTCTAGACCCCTGGAAGATCCTATCCCATCCCTTATCTCTTATATCTTGTTAAATTCACAATTCACAACAGAATGGAAATAGCAGGCACGTTATTCATTTATGTGGGGAAATTGGTCTTCAGTCTTCAGTATCCAAAGACATCCTGATTTGGCCGTTAGAATAGAACAATATAAACAGATAACAAAAACACATCGGTTCCTTAATTTGGGGGTCCTATAAAAATAATGCAATGGGTAACACCTACATACATTGAAGAGAATAGATGTCTATTTAAAGAAATACCAATGTTTCTTTGAAACCATTGTTTGAAAATTAGCAATGTCGACTTCCATGATTATTAGATGTTATAGAAATGCCCAGCTATTCCTGGTGGTTATCACTGGCTTTGTGAGAAGTTCCACAAGTTTATGTCAATAATCTTTGGGATCTGTTGATATACTATTCATAGCTTACAGAATTGTCTTAGTCAAAACTGCGTCTTTACAAGAATAAGCGCAATATAACAATTATATGGTTTTCTTTTCTCAGGGAGGAGCTGAACATAACATCCCAGTTGTCATCTCAAAAATATCCAAGGAACAAAGAGGTACAGCATTTGTAGATGTGTATAGTTGTCCTTTTTTTATTTTTTTAGATTACTGCTCTTCAACAGTGAGATGTGAAGTATCACAACTTTATTTTTTTATTTTTTATTTTTTTGCTTTTTGGGTCACACCCGGTGATGCACAGGGGTTACTCCTGGCTCTGCACTCAGGAGTTACTCCTGGCGGTGCTCAGGGGACCATATGGGATGCTGGGAATCGAACCCGGGTTGGCTGCGTGCAAGGCGAACGCCCTACCCGCTGTGCTATCTCTCCAGCCCTGAAGTATCACAACTTTATATGTGTTTTACTTCTGGGTTCCTGTGACCACACAGCAGGCACCTGACTGTGGTTCCTGAGTCACTGTCACTGTCCTCCCATTGTTCATGGATTTGCTTGAGTGGGCCCAGTAACATCTCCATTTTGAGACTTGTTGTTACTGTGTTTGGCATATTGAATATACTCTCGGTAGCTTGCCGGGCTCTCCGAGAGGGGCGGAGGAATCGAAGCTGGCTTGGCCAGGCTGGCAGCGCCAAGGCAAACGCCCTACCGCTGTACTATCTCTCCAGCTCTCCCTTAATTCGTCCGTGGGAAAGTCTTTGGAACACAGAGGCTAGGACAAAAAGATGATAGGATGTAACTAATTAATGGCTGTAAGAATTTAGGGACTGGATAATGCTGTAATTGCTTCAGTAGTAGAATATACAAACACATGACAGGCATATCAAAACATTACCAGTTCTGCACATTTTAACAATTCTGATATGCAATTTAGCTTAGTCTTTGACATGAAAATTTATCCAGTAAAACTTACTAAAGATGTAAAGTAATAATTTCAGTTATTGAAGTCAATAAAATAACAGAATTGATTCTATACATTGATTCCTCTGGGATAAATTTTTTCATGTAAGTACATAGAAACGGCTGTCGTCCACCCAGAAGTGGGACTGCTTCTTAACAGCTGGAACTTGGGAAATGGAAAAATTACACAGAAATATCTCAGCATGTGTATAAAATCTCCTGGGGCAGCCAGGGAGGCCCGGGCAGCTCTCCCCCTTGCCTCCTGGGTTCTGAGGGGCCCCAGCCACTCACCTTGGGGCAGCCCGGGCCATGGGGCAGACGGTGGATGAAACAAGGAAACAAGGGCCAAGCCAGTCGATTGATCAGTTGCCCTTCATTCCATTCTCCCCAAGTGCCTGCCCCAGTCTCTCTGAGCGCCCCCTTCTAGTCTCACAATCCCCTCACTCCCATCTCCTCCTATCTCTCCCACTCATCTCTCCACACTCCATCTCACGGCCTAGGCTCTCTCTCTCTCTCTCTCTCTCTCTCTCTCTCTCTCTCTCTCTCTCTCTCTCTCTCCACGTGCCTGTTCCTGTATTCTTCTTTTACGTTCTTCTCTTGCTAGTCTCTCCACACTCCATCTTGCTGCCCTGTTCTCTCTCTCTCATCTCTCTCCAGCTCTCTTGTCTCTCCAACTCCCTCTCACTCTGGACCTACACTGCCCCCAGTCAGGCAGCAAAATCAACATAAAAAAGGCCTTCCTGAGGGCCCACCAGTTTCAAAGGAAACACCCGCCCAAGAGGTATTCTAAAGCCCTTCCTGACTGCCCAGGGTTAAAATACCTCTTAAGGTGTTTTTCTCCTTTCCTCAGTCCAATAACTTTATCAACATCTTAATACTATTTTTTGTATGGATACAGTAAGAGATAACATTGAGGCTTGTAGGGCAGCTCTCCAGGGAACATTTTGCCACAGACTCAGACTACAGTGCTCGGGCCAGATTAATCATTCCTAACCCTAGCAGGACTGGAGCGATAGCACAGTGGGTAGAGCGTTTGCCTTACAAGCGGCCAACATGGCCGACCCGAGTTCAATTCCTCCGCCCCTCTCGGAGAGCCCGGCAAGCTACCGAGAGTATCCCGCCCGCACGGCAGAGCCCGGCAAGCTCCCCGTGACGTATTCGATATGCCAGACACAGTAACAACAAAGTCTCCAATGGAGACGTTACTGGGCCCGCTCGAGCAAATCGACGATCAACGGGAGGGCCTTTACCTTTACCTTTTTACCTTAACCCTAGCAGGGTCCAAATCTAATTATTACTTTTTGGATCGTGACAGCTTTCGTCCATGACTAAACTCTCATAGTTAAGCATCAGGCACTTTGGCCAGGCCCATCTCATTGCCAGGGTAGCACATGGCTTACCACTTGCTCAGTTCCATCCAGTCCCTCGTTGGGACCCTGCTTTTGGGGGTGCTAGGAAGTAGGGGCAGCTGAGACTTAGGTCGAGAGAACAGATGCCCAGGAGGAAAATATCACTGAGAGCCAATAAACTCCCATGTTACAAATCATAGCATTTACTGTCTTCTTGTGTCCAGACAAAAGGACTTGCTCTGAATTAACTATGCAAAGGACTTAGGGAGAAGAGAAAAACAATAATTACAAATTAACAGAGCACAAAGAAAGAAGTTACGAATAAGCACAGAGGAATGGGAGCACTGTGATGGGAGCAACCCAATAAACCTAACCTACCTGAGGCTATGCAGGAAGGGCAAATCAATGTTATTCTATAAGCATGCATTTCAATTTATTTATGAATCATAATGTTTTGTGTTTATATTCCTTATAGACTTTTTATATTCTATAACTAACACCTTATTTTGTCAAACTTTTGACCAGTTTTCTTTAATTAAAGTGTCTACTTCATCTGTATAGAGAAAACAGTTCGTAATAATCATCTCTTTTGGTTCACAGCGGAACTATCAGGACTCCTCTTTATCGGGGATGCAATTCTACAGGTATGTTCTTTGTAATTATTTTTCCATATACAATAAAATTAGTCAATATACAATATGTAATGTAAAGATATGTATTTTTCTTCATTGTAGATAAATGGAATTAATGTACGAAAATGCAGACACGAAGAAGTGGTGAGTTTGTTATTTTAATTTTATAATTGTCCCCATCTGTAAGTGAAGAATTAGTGCATTAATGAGCACTTTCAATTATATTAATTATAAAAATATAAATTGTCCACTGTACTATATTGGCTGGAGTGATAGCACAGTGGGTAGGGCGTTTGCCTTGCATGTGGCTAACTCGGGTTCGATTCCTCCGTCCCTCTCAGAGAGCCCTGCAAGCTATCAAGAGTATCCCTCCCGCACAGCAGAGCCTGGCAAGCTCCCCGTGGCGTATTTGATATGCCAAAAACAGTAACAACAAGTCTCACAATGGAGACGTTACTGGAGCCTGCTCAAGCAAATCGATGAACAACGAGAAGACAGTGCTACAGTGCTATATTGTGATGTTTTCAAATATTATTTTTCCTATTAAAAGAGAAGTAAATACTGAAATTGAGTCAGATCATTACAGAGGTCAGCTTGTTGTTTTATACTTTTTCTAGTAATCCTTGCCAGGTTTCATTAATCATGTCTCTAACTGAATTACATCTATGCATCTTACACGTATATAAAGTCGTATAAGTAATAAAAATAAATATTTGTATAATGATAAAATTGGAAAAATGGAAAAACATGTAGATTCTCTGTGTGTGTGTGTGTGTGTGTGTGTGTGTGTGTGTGTGTGAATGCATACAGAATAGGCAGGGGATGAGAGGAGCTTAATCACAGAGGAGCAAAAGTCATCTGCACAGTGGTTATCAAAGTTGACTCTGGACTTTTCTTGGATGTTTCTTGGATGAAAATGTAAATCGGATGTAGTGAATTTAAATGGGCCCAGGAATTTTTAATTTAACAACTAGCCCAACAATTTTCATTGTATTTGGCCTCTATGTATTTTATCCTCTTTGGAAGAAATATAGCAGTGTAACAGTGTGTAACAGAGGCTATATATAATTTCTGTTGGGAATTGTGAACTGACATAAAATGTTGGAGCAAGGAATCGGTAGAAAAAGACACTTGAGAATGTGTGCCTCTGAACTCCTCTACCAGCTCACAAAAGAAGTAGAGGAGATCAGATATTTAAAAGTTAAAACCAGGTGTCAAACAAAAAAGATATTGCTAGAGGCATTCTTTTCTCCTAGCTCTATTTTATTTGACTTATATATACATCACTCCTCTATCTAATTATCTACCTATCTCTATCTCCGAATTGCTAAATTTATTTATAGAACACTATTCTTACATATTTACATATTTTAAAGCTCAGAGACAGCCTCGAGTGTTTATGAAAACCAGAGACCTACAAGCATTGATAATTGTGTTCTCCATTATGAGCACTTGAAATAATCAAGGTTTGTTAGTATTCATCACTTGCCTCTATCTTCTGAAAAACCTTGTTTGGACCGCACTTTTACCACTCTGTTGTGAATATCATAAAAATACGTCTATTTGAAGTTTCAAGTTTCCTGTGAAGATTTACAGGAGAAAAAAATAGCAGTTGAGAACAAGTTTTTAGACAATTGAGAAAAAATCCACAGCACAGAGCACTCTGTTCTGAAGATTCATATGTTAATTTTAAACATAGACAAAAACAAGTAAGTGTATTTTTTTTCCCCAAAAGTACAAAGTGGTTTTTAAACTAATTATGCAGGGAGCAAAAACAAGTGCGTTCTCTTTTAAAGCCACATGCTGTTAGATGTTTGCAATTTTCTCTTCAAATATAGGTAGCATGCTTGGACCAGCTGTGATGGATCTTTGATTAAAAAGAAGAGTGTGGCGTGGAAGATTAGAATGCACTTTACATCAGAATGCACTAATAATGCCCCTTAATGGTTTTCATCTTCTTTTCTTTTTAAGTATTACTTGGCTCAATGGCTTTGACACTTCTAAACGGACTTTATGATTGTATTGCAAGTAATGTGGTCCTTTCTCTTTTTGACTGCTTTGTGGTGCTTGGGGCTTATTCCTGACTTTTTGGTCTCAAGGTCTCTCCCAGTTATGCTTTGAGACATATGCAATGCTGGGAAAAAACAGTTGGTAAACAGGTTGGTCACATGACCCTTTTCTAAAACCATGCAGAAATCAAACGAAAATGAATTATTGCACTTGAATCCACAGAGGTTGTTTATCTGAGGAAGGTTTTAATCACTGGTAATATATTTGAAGGTTAAAGGGATCTTGATTGTAGAATTTTATTATTTTTATACTATTTTATAAATACATGTTTTATGTATTGTATTACTGTATCACTGCCATCCCGTTGTTCATTGATTTGCTCAAGCAGGCACCAGTAATGTCTCCGTTCGTCCCAACCCTGATATTTTAGCAGCCATCCATTACTCGTCCTTCCCAACGGTTCCATATTGGAGGCTCTTTCAGGGTCACGACAATGAGACCTGCTATTGTTACTGTTTTTGGCATATCAAATATATCACGGGGAGCTTGCCAGGCTCTGCTGTGTGGGCGGGGTACTCTCAGTAGCTTTCCAGGCTCTCTGAGAGGGACGAAGAATGTTTATAAGAAAACACAAGCAAGTATGTTAAAAACCAAACACATGTGTGCTGCTTTAGGTACATCGGTGGGCTAGGCTACAAGAGGTTGTGCGGCCACATATATTGCATATATATTGTATATATGGGCTGGAGCAATAGCACAGCGGGTAGGGCGTTCGCCTTACAAGCGGCCAACATGGCCGACCTGAGTTCGATTCCTCCGCCCCTCTCAGAGAGCCCGGCAAGCTACCGAGAGTATTTGATATGCCAGACACAGTAACAACAAAGTCTCCAATGGAGACGTTACTGGGCCTGCTCGAGCCAATCGACGATCAACGGGAGGGCCTTTACCTTTATATTGATTTTATTATTATTCCAATATGAAAGATTCAGAACAAGAGAGACTCAGATTTATATACCTGATTTACCTCTGGATTTTTAATTCTAAGAGAATCCTTATTCATATTCCATTCTGTTCTAATTATTACAGATTTGTAGTGCAGCTTGAAGTTGGTGAAAAATGATACCACCCACCTCTTTATGAACAAGGAATTATTTGGATATTTGGCATGTTTACTATTTTATATTTCCATTTTTAATTCAGGAGTGTTTCGTCTTTTCTTTGAAAAATGCCATGGATGTCCTTATGGGGACTTGATTGAATCTGCTTATGCCTTAGAGAGTATTGCTAGTTTGACAATGTTAACATTCCCAATGCGTGAACAGGTGACACCATACCATTTCCTAGTGTCCTCTTTTATTAACTTTAATAGTGTTTGATAGTTTCGTTGTCTTTGTATAGATCTCTCATTACTTTTGTATAGCCAATTCCCAGGTACTTGCTTTTCTGAAGCACAATTGTGGATGGGGTTTTTAAAAACATCCTATCTCTTATATTTTGCATATAGAAAAGCCTTTTATATATCTTGAATCTCTTCCCCTTCTTTCAAAGTCAGCATTTCCTTGTAGCATTTTATTCTAGTTGATCAATCAAGAGTTGCTAGAGTAGTGTTAAAGTTTTAAATTTTTACTGTGTTTCTATTAGTATCTTCTGCAAGTCTACTATCAATTTTTTTAGTGTTTTGCTGATCTCTGACTAGGTGCAAAAATGTTTAGGAGTTGTGATTTCTTCTGGTGTATATTATCAATCGATCTTTAAGAAATGACCCTTTCATCTCTTACTCCTTTTTTCAGTCTGAAATTTAAGTTGTCTAATGGAAGTATGGCAACACAGGCCGTTTTGAGTGAGTTATTTGCTTGAGACATTGTCTTTTATTGTTTTATTTTAAGTCTGTTTGGTCTATTTAAATGTGTCTTATGGGAAGCAGATAAAATTTGAAGATTATTCAATTATATAATCCAACCTGGCACTCTGTGTCTATTAATTGGTACATTAAGTAAGTTCACAGAGTGAGATTATTGTCATGAAGATTTTTTATCTGCCATCTTTCTGTTCAGTTTACCATATTTGTGTGAATTACCATCTTAATAAAGCCCCTTCAGTTCTATTTACAAAATTGATTTTGAGTGCATGAAGTTTCTGAACTGTTGACTTACAGATATTTCCCCCAATCTCTGTATCATTACTTCAAACCTGAGAAATAGTCTGGCTGAAATCTTTATTCGGTTGAGTTTTTTTCCCCCATATATTCCACTCTTGTCTTTTGTTCAGTGAGTCTTATTTGATAAATGTGTGAATGTTAAGGACACTCGTTGTATGTAATTTTCTTCTTTGATCTTGCTGCATTCAATAATGTAGTTCTGTTTTGGACTGTCATTTTGATTAGGATGCCTTTTGGAATATTTTTGTGTTTCTCTTTATCATTGGCTTTTGTCATGATGACTAGGAAGTGTCTTGGGATATTTTTATCTGGGTCTCTTTGAGTTGGCTTGGTTCTCTTGAATCTGAGTGCATTTGCTCTTCATCTCTGGGAACTTCTCGGTAAAACTTCTCTGACTATGGCTTCTCCATTCAAATTGCCTTTGTTATCTGGGAGTCTGAAGATTCTTATATAATTCTTCTTGAATTTATCCCAAAGTTCTCTGGTTTGCTTTTTATTTATTTTGAGACTTTTTCCTCCTCTGATGTTCTCAGGGATTTACTGAATCTCATTGTGAACTTCATTGATTTTTGTCCCTAGCTTTCATTATCTTGTTACCAAGAGATTTTCATTTCACTTAGAATATTCTTTAGTTCTGTCATTTCTTTGTGTATTTTTCTCATTTATTCTCTCATCCTCTCCTGTGCTTTACTGACTACTTACTTATACTCTTGTTTTTCTTGAACTGGTTCTGAACGTTTCCTCCCTGAAGCTCTGAGGTTCTATAGCTGGTCAGTAGCGTCCAGCCTTTGGGGCTACTCTCAGGGCTCTCTAAGAGGGTGGGGGGTTAAGTGCAGCTTTGCCCCCTGCAGATACTCTAGCTCTATGCATGGACAGTCAAAGCCTCTCTACAATCACTGTCCATTAGGAAGTAGGGCACTGTTGATTCTTGGAGGCAGCAAAGGGCACAGCGGGATGGAGAAGGTCCACATGCTTG